CAAGACTAGCACTGATGCTGGGATTGAATCGGCTTGATGGTGTTGGTCTCGATGTGAAGCAATCCATTTTACCACCGAGAGATTGGACAGAGCGCGAAGAACGCAGGAGGGTCTTCTGGGGCGCATTTGCCACGGATAGATATTCGAGTGTTGGAACCGGTTGGCCCATTCTTATTGATGAGAACGATGTCAGTATCTCTTCTTTAAACCCTCTTCATGACGTAGAGGGTGATAGGCTGACAATAATCAGATCAGGACCAACCTCCCCGCATCCGAAGAATCTTTTACCAAGAGCAAGCCACAACGAACTCTTCATCTGAACGATATCATCACTGGAGATGGTGTTTCTACACTAGCCCCTTTTGCATGCGTGATGGTTTTGGCAAGCCTTTTCGGTCGTAACCTCGTACACATCCATCGGCCTCAGCCCCAAGATAACGATCATGACCTCAATGGGGAGTTTTGGAAGCGCCACAGAAGCCATGATAATATTCTTCTGCATATTTCGCTCTCGTTGCCTGATCATCTCCGACTTCCAAGTGGTATGTCGGATGTGAACGTCGTTTTCGCCAACATGAGCATCCATACTTCAACCATATGTCTTCACCAAGCGGCAATATTCAAGGCCGAAAAGAACAAGATGCCGAATCAGATTACGACCGAAAGCAAGCGCAGATGCCTTGTCGCCGCGAACCAGATTTCGAGTACCATGAAGATGATCAGCCACGTTGATTTGACGAACGTAAGTTTCTATTGAGCTTTCTTGCCCAGAATCTTTTGCCCTAACACCTTGCAGCTAAATCCTTTCATGTCGTTTTGTCTCTATATTGCTGCTCGTGTCTTTGTGCAGTATCTCAAATCCCGACCAGAGGATTCGAGTGTCCAGTCCTCATTGCAATTTCTCGTCTCCGCTCTGAACGCCATGAAGAACAAAAACCCTCTGACCGAGTCCTTTCTTGTTCAATTGGATGTGGATCTTGATGGAACTGGCATTCGCGCTTTGGACGATAGACAGAAAACCAACATGGGTGCTGCACATTCGATGGTAGTATGTTTCCCTGGCTTGTTCCCCAAGGACTCATCGAAGCTAATCGCATTCTCGCTAGCAATCATACTGCCACGAAAATATCGAATGTACTCCTATGTATGACGTCCGTCAAACACAGCGGACCGCGAATAATGAATCTCCCCAATACAGTACCAATCGCGGTGGCAATCAACAGCCTATGCCTACCGGGTTGACGACGTCCCTCCCTAACCGGAGCAGGGATTCAACGACACAGCTCAACGCAGGATCAGATTTTAATGGCGAGGACATGTGTCATTTTTCGGGAACTTCCACTCGGGCGACAGTTCCAAACATGGATCAAGCCGGACCCCCAGGGGCCATTGTCGATATGGACATGGACTTCCCACCTGATTTCGGCAACCTCAGCGATAGAAATAACCCACCATCAGACCATCCCACCCCCTCAACCTTGAATTCATCCTCCAACACTTCCTATTCAATCAACGGTGCCGACGACCCATCACCCGCAAACAAGCATCAAACGACGAACCCGGTATATCCGAGTCAGGGGTCGGCCCCATCCTTTGACAAGGTCAATCCAAACATCATGCCACAAGGAAACACAAACCCGCAGGCCACTGATTTGGGTTCTATGGCTGGTCGGTTTTATCCAAGCAGCTCTGATAGCCCGTCACTTCCCACAGGAGCGTCGGGAATCTTTTCCGTGCCTTCTGCGTGGGACCTTCCCACCCCAAATCCAGAAACGGGCAACGAGGACTTTGGAAATCTAAACATGGAGGCTTTCAGTGAATCCCAATGGGCTCAAATGCTGAGTACTCAAATCCAGGGCGAAAATGGGACCAACGCTGGCTGGCAGAACTGGCGGCCATCTTGAGCGCAACACGTGGTGGATATACTTCCTGTGAAAGGGTCTTGGTTGGATAGTCCCCGATGTCAACAACTCATCAAGCTTGAGATTGTTGCAACAAATAAAACCTCTCATGTTGTCGCCGTACGGACGACATGGGGCGCTGGGCTTTGTGTTCCCTCAACCTGCTCAAAATCTGAGATCCTAGGCTCTCACTGACTATAACAACCCATCAAGGCCTTTAACAATCCTGGTCGGGATCTCACATGCGACTCGAAGCAAGTCGTCATCCTATTGGATACTTCTCTTTTGCTTTCGTTCTCCCCCTCCCCGCCCCAGGGTGAGATTCATATACGTGAGGCATTGGTCTCCTAGTTCCACAAATATTGGGGTCACTTATTACGATATTCCTGGATTGAGTACCTTCTTTTCCCGAGGTCGATTTACCAACCACGGAGCTGCACATCCCTTTGCAATCCTCTTGCCACAATATTCGAGTAAGGTGGCAGCGGAGAATTTTCTATTAGCCTCTGCTGTTGAATGATTTGATGACGAACGAATGAACGGTCTTTTTTGGGGTGGAACTCTTCACTCATACGGTTGAAATCGGAGTATTTGGAACCTATCAATTCATGTTAATAACCAATTACTACAATATTACATCAAAATGCTAAGAAATCTATTGATCTTACTCATTTTAATATATATTTTTTTTTCAGTACGTCCATTCATGATAAATTTCTGACAATAATCTACATCATCAGGTTAGGGCAAAAGAAAAAAAGGCTTGCCGAAGAAGAGGAAGGATAACACAATGCTCGGATCTATAGGCCACCACCAGCAGCACCGACAATCTTCAAGCCTCCAGCGCTGGAGCTACCAGGTCCATCAGTGGTAGTTGAGTAAGCCAGCCAATAGCGAGAGGGATGCCAAGCAACAGCAGAAACACCAGCATTGATGCCAGCAGTAGGAATTGTGTAAACATTATCACCAGACTCGGCGTGGAAGATCTCCAGTCCATTCCCACCACACCCAAGCTCATCGCATGCGCCCACAATGTAGCGGCCATCGAAGCTCCAGCTTACGCCACGGATGGCGCCACCATTCTCACTAGACAAAGTGCGACGACAGATCCAGTCGGTCGTGTCCCAGAGCGAGATGAGAGCGTCGCTTCCGCCAACTGCGAGGTATCGGCCTGTTGGGGCAAGCGCAATTGAAAGGCAGGCTGAGGTGTGGGCGTTGAGGGTGTGCATAATATCAAAGGAAGGGTAGGACATGATTTTGACCTTGCCTTCGCCAGTCGTCACGAATACATGCTGCTCCGGACGTTCGGGTGTCGGCATGCACCAGGAGAAAGTTGTCGCATTTGTTTGGACGGTCTGAGGGTGAGGGTCGAGAGCGGTGTATGTGGTTGCGCCGGGTGTAGAGGAGGGAAGGTTGAGAGCATTCACGCCATCAGGGTGGGTGGTAGGAGAGGAGGGGGATCGAACGGAGATAGGGATCAAGGTGTCGTCCTGTTTACATGTCGTATGTTAGTGACTTTGTACAGAGATCAAGTGTGCGGAGTCGCAGCGCAGCGCATGGTTACCTTCTTGCCGACGATCATTGTGCTGCCGTCAGCAGACCAGGAGAGTGTAAATGCTTCGCCGCCAACATCGAGACGGCTCACACATGTCTTGGAGCGCACATCCCAAAAGCGCACTGTACCATCAGCCGAGCAACTAGCCAGCTCCGCATCGCGGACTGGGTTGAAAAGAGCCTTCTCGATACCAGCTGTGTGGCCACGCAATTCGGTAGAGTATCGTACATGAGGACGCTCGGGGTTCCAGATTCGTAGAGTGCGATCTGCCGAGCCAGTGGCAATCAGCTGGCCCGTGGGGTTCCAAGCAAGAGTGCGGATCCTGCAGTTCCAGACCCTTGTCAGTAAATGAACGACAGCATCTGGCGCAAAATCCAGACTTACGTGTGAGAGCCGGGTCCCTTAGAAAGGGGATCTAAGTAGTTTTGAGTCTTCACGCCCCCAAACACGATTGGAAAGTGATCCTTGTGTAGGAGCTCGCGACGCGGAGCGGGCGCCATCTCTTCGTCTTCCTCCTCTAGCAATTGGCGCGAGACTGGAGGTCCACCTGCATTCGAACCAGCAGAAGAAGCAGTATCAGAAGCGAAAGTAGAAGCGATAGGATCTAGCAGCTCAGGCTCGATGCTATTCGAAGAATGATGGACGGTCGGAATTGGAGAGTACTCGGATACCGCCTTTGGACAGCTCGATACTGCCAGGGAATCCTTATCGGGTGTTGCCGCCATCACGATGGTCGCCTCAGGCACCCAACCTTTTCTGCCTACTGTATTGGATTTGGATTTTGCGTCCCAACTTGCGCTTCAATTGCCAGAATATTGAGAGAGAAATCGGGATGAAAGGAAGCAACAGGCAACAAGTCAGTGAGTATAGTACATATTTTGCCCATCTATAGGGAAGAACATTGAAATGCGTTTCACATCATTACATATCAAGGAACACCATCAGGAACCACACCATGGACATAATGGATTAGGCTAAAAGAGGCACTCTACAATTACTTTTTGATTACTCTACACGCCTTGTTTCTAGAGCCCTACGTTGTATGGCATAGGCACTGCTGCGATGCATTATGTTCTAATTGACAGTGGGTTTGTTTGCTCTATAGTAGATCCATGGTCATATAATATGATAAAAGTCTTTGAAGCGAATTTTAATATGGAAATAAGTGAAACTGAGCTCTAAGTTCAACTTTGAAATATCTTATGAATTAATACAAGTGCAAGGCTACATTGAGTCATTATACTCATTACAATATGGAGGCCGTTGATATTTTATTGATACCCTATGTCTTGATTTGACATACAAATGCCATTCAAACTCAATATATATAGTTTTCGTATAATATCCCTATATGGACACCTTGTTAAAATATCTCAAATTCCAATTCAAAATTGGAATGTGGAACGTTTGATAGCTGCAGCCTTATGGGTCCGATAAGCCCGAGCTTAATCGAACCTCACCCTTCGGCTGAAATTTAACCCTTCGAATCTCAAGAGCTGCGATTGTCAACGTTAAGCAGCACTTTGAAGGCTATCAGAGAAAACATGTTTGAAGAAGTAGATGACGCATCGCGTCGTGAAAAGTGTTTCACAACCGTCGCTCAACTGCCGGCGTTCATCGACCCAAAGCAGATCCCGGGCAAGAGATCGCCCTTTTCAACGATCCAAAATCATGCATTTGTACACTCAGTAGGTGGCCTGTGGCTTGATCTGAGAGATGAAAGGACATTTGACTGATAATTGGGTATAGGCCGAGGTTATCCTTCCAAAGGAGCTTTACTCACAGATCAAGCCGTCGCTCGAGACCAAACTGGAGAAACCTCGATATGCACGAGTCTTTATGACTCCTTTGGCTCTGCTTGAGCATGATTTCTTCAATACATATATCAAGTCAGGTAATTGTGCCTCCACCAGTTCAATCCAAAAATTCTTCCATATTTGAGTGGTTGTCAGCTGCGCAAGCATCAGACATTTGTGCCCAGAGAGTCAATTTCATCAAAGATGGCAATCTGATTTGGGATATAGGGAATATTTTGATGATATCCGAAGGACGCTCGGGTTCCGATAATGTCTTCACACTCCAAGATGGTTCGTTCCCTTGAAGCTGCGGCTGGAAGAGTATTGCTGTTGCGGAACCGAAAGTTGACTTAAATTGAAACAGGAGTACTTCGAATGGAATTAGGAAAGGAGATCTATGAGCGAACAGGTCTCACAGGCAAGCCTTTCCGCAGCGGCGGCAGAAAACATGCAAAGGAAAGATTCTGTGTGTACAACCAGAGCAAATGGGCTGGTTGAATGTTGCTAATCATGTCGTTAGTGGTAGAATTGAACTTACGGCTACCCTCGATGCTACATGGCAAAAAAGGGTTCGAAAGAATCGTCTGGGCATTCACCAATGTTCTGACGCAATCAATGGCCTGGCTCTTCCACGACCTGGAAAGCAATCCGGGTCCAGATGACGGTGAATATGCTTTCGAACCCCCCAAAAAAAGGAAATACCAGCAATATACTAACAGTAGGAGCAGTAAATAAGCCGATCAACAAGGTTCAACCTCAGTTGATGACTTGCGAGCCACAGGAAATTGATCACGAGCAAATACTCATTCCACCTTTTTACAACGGGGTACTGGAGGAAATGTCGGAAGTTGATCTCCAGGAACATTGTGGCGCCCTGTCCGAATGGATTGCCATGGTTCAAATGGCTTCTCCGCGAGTATCTGGGGAAGATGACGTTGATCCATACCTGAGTCGTTATGCAGTTCCAGAAGATGAAATCCAGGCCTCTGAGGCCTCTGATTTGATGAGCTTAAAATGGCATGGTTTGATATCGTCCCGGTGGATCATGCAGCTGTTCCTCAATTTATTGTAAGTCTCGAAAAAAGAAAAGTATGGTTAGGGGACTGACATTGCCCAGGCAAAGTACCAAGGTCAGCAATCTATCTTGGTTCGCGCTTTCCGTCGCTGCTCTGGGAAAAGAGGCCGTGGAAGGAAGGGACGGATTTACGGTTATGGCCCTTCCTGAACAATCCCAAAACGGCGACGGAACTGGTGGTCGGATGACTTTATGTTGGGAGTTGATGGGGGCATCAGTGACTGAACCCTGACCTAGCCCTTGCCCTTTGACGCCTACCCCATGAGGTGCTTCATGACTTTGCCCTGACGAACCTCCCACACTCCGTTCCTATTTCTTCCTTCCTGTTTCTTTCTCTCTCTTCTTTTCTCTCTCCTTCCTTCATACTTGTTGCATTTCTTCTCCACACATTCCCTACCCCATACATTCACCACCATTCATTTCATACAATTAGCTATGTAATAGCTATTAGTCCTTGCTTCCGCTCCAGCAATTGACACACTTTATTCATATTTTCCATTTTCCTTTCTGCACCGTCCTTAACCCACTTTACCTGTACTCTCATTCACATTTATCCTATCATTCGTTATGGAGGACCCCACCGTTATGGAGGAACCTACCCAATACTTTCTCGACGCCCTTGCCGAGGTGTCCTATGATGAAGATCCATCCAAGGCTCTCTTGGGTCTCGACGAATGGAAAGTACCCGAGTCAATTTTCCGCGAGGATGGTTCCTGCATGTCCATCTGGGAACTTGCTCGTGCCAATGGTAATACATCTTCTGATTTAGGGCTATCGAACCAAACTAACATGTGCTCCTAGGATATCGTTTCGAAGGAAAGAACGACCAGTTTGCCGGCTGCACTTTCGACGAGGCCTTTTGTGAACTCGGTGTAGACCCAGTCATTGGCCCATTGACTGAGGATCACCTGGAGCTTGGCCCTGAATTGCCTACTCCCATCGTGGCTGATGATGTGACCACACAGAGCACTTGCGCCAACCAGCCGCCGACCACAGTCTATCCGCTGGATACCCTCGTGTCTCTCGAAAACGCCGACCTGGGTCCTCCTCTTGCAGTCGTTAAACTCACTCCCGCCACTGATGCTCCAGTCAACCAACAGGCCCCGGTCACCATTGACCCAGCTGTTCAAGTCACCCCCGCCACTGATGCCACTGATGCCCCAGCCACCAACGTTGCTCCAGTCACCATTGATCCAGACGTCCAAGTAGCTCCTGCCACATCCGGTTCGGCACCTGGTACGGTCAAGGTGTTTACCTTGCCACAAGCCAAATCGTGCCCTCAACCTGCTAAGCGACCACCCAAGCAGAACGCCAAGCGGGCCCCCAAGAGGAAGCAAAATGACGAGTTACACAATACAAAGAAGAAGACAAAGGCGCAAAGCACCCCACGCAAGGCGAAGGGCAAGACAACTCTAGCCCCAGTCCCACAACCTCTTCCAAAGATTGCGCCTGCTCCAATGACACCAATTCCTGCCCCTATGACTCGTGTCCCTACCCCGACGACTCCAGTAACCGGGGTCACCAACAAGACAGCGGCCCATCCCAGTCAACAGCAGCTTCAAATCCAAGCACATCTTCGAAGCCAAGAGCAGTTTCTTCGTACTGAATGGCAGCAAATTCAGGAACAGGGAGCTCATCTGAAACAGCAGCAACCCGGGGATGAACAGCAGCTCCAGATCCACCGACAGCAGTGTCAGGTGTACCAGCAGCAGTTTAATCTATTCAAATACAAGATCGATCAGCACAAACAGCAAGTCCGTCAATACCGATATCAGCATCAGCATCAGCATGCAAGTCAACAAACCCAGCAAGCTCAGCAGCCCGCCCAGAAATTGCAAGCAGTTTATCCCTCCCCTCCCAAGCAGCGCATGCAGTCTGTGATGCAACAGACCCAGCAACTGCAAGTTTCAGCGGCTCAGCGAGTTCAACAGCCCACCCAGCAAATGCAACCAGTTTATTCCACTCCTTCCAAGCAGCGTACGCAGTCTGTGATGCCACAAACCCAGAAAGCCCAGCAGCCCGCCCAGAAAATGCAAGCAATTTATCCCTCCCCTCCCAAGGAGCGCATGCAGTCTGTAATGCAACAGACCCAGCAACTCCAAGCTTCAGCAGCGCAACAAGCTCAGCAACCTGGCCTGCAAATGCAAGCAATTTATTCCACCCCTCCCAAGCAGCGTGCGCAGTCTGTGATGCCACAAACCCAGCAACTTCAAGCAGTTTATCCCTCCCCTACCAAGGAGCGCATGCAGTCTATGATGCCACAAACCCAGCAATTTCAAGCTTCAGCAGCTCAGCAGCCCGGCCAGCAAATGCAAGCAATTTATTCCACCCCTCCCAAGCAGCGTGCGCAGTCTGTGATGCCACAAACCCAGCAATCCCAATCAGCTTATCCTACCCCTACCAAGAAGCACATACAGTCTGTGATGCAACAAACTCAGCAACTCCAAGCTTCAGCAGCTCACCGAGTTCAACAGCCCACCCAGCAAATGCGAGCAGTGTATTCCACCCCGCCCAAGGAGCACATGCAGTATGTTTCCTCCCTTTCTGCCGCTTCACCTAGCAAGAGAAATTTTCAATTTATGGAGAACATTGTGCCTACCAACTTTGTGGCCAACCCAAACAACCATCCCCGGTGGGGTCTCAGCCCTAATGGAGATCGAACCTACTTGAACGGACACCAGGCGAAAAAGGCACGAGTCTCGAAGTAGAATCGGGCAGATATGCTGTTTCTCTGGAACAGTCGTGAATTTGAATACTTTTTTCGAAGGATCATGATGAAATAAGGAGGTCGTTGAGAAGGAGAGATGGCGGAGGATGTCGAGAAGGTCTTTGCTCTTGTGAATGTGTATTCCAAATTTCGAAGGGGGATTGTTCATGAGGAGGATTCTGATCGGGGTGTTGCAGTAGGTACACATGGATTGTAGCCTACTTGAATACAATTTGTTCTTTCATCAATTCCTACGGTAGATTCTTTTCATTGAGAAGCGGAATATCGAGCGTCTTGCGTATTGATTGTTTGCAGACTACGGTGCTCTGCAATAAAAGAAACCAAATCTCATTGTAACATTTGACTGCCAATAACCAACAGGCCGCAGTGCTAATTGAAATTAACATATAGGGTGCTCATGTATTCGCCGAGCCCAAAACATTACACATGTAGGACGAATGGCCGTACCAGCGCGCCAAGTCGCGTGAGATAATAAAACAGAACACCTCGGTTTGCAGTCCAAGAGCAGAAACAAGGACCTTGATTGAAACATGATATACTAGCCCGTCAGGTCATTCACTATGTCTCGCAGGATGGGCCGATTCCCAACCACATTCGTGCCGTTGAACAACTTTGCACCCGTCTTTGAAGGCTTTCGAAGGCCAGTCGCTGCTTGTCGGGAACCTAATGGGCTCAATGGCTCACGGGAAAAACGAGCAGGTGGGTTGTTCTTGCCCTTACCTTTGCCCTTGGCAGAGCCAGGAGTCGAGGCCGCACCCGGAGACATGAGCTGCGACTGTGTGGTGCAAGAAGGGAAGAAATGCCTGTCTATCGCTCCGCTGGGCAAGTTATAAACCCAGCCTTTGCTTTCGACCAGGCGCACGTATTTGCAGAGGAGCTCGTTACCATCACGGAGAGTGGATCTGCTGCCGACAACAAGGAGCTTGGTCTGTGCGCGGGTGAAGGCGACGTTGACACGACGCCAGTCACGTAGGAGCTCGCCGACGTTGTTTTCGGCGTTACTGCGGACGCAGCTCAGAATAATGACCTCTTTGTCGCGACCTTGGAACTTGTCTGTAGTGTGCATTTCTAGATCTGGGGTGTAGTGTCGCAGGCTCTGACGGAGGAGCGAGAGTTGACTGCGGTAGAAAGTGATCACACCAATGTTGCGCGCGGGAATACCACAGGCAATGAATGACTCCACAAGCTGCGTGCAGAGGAAGACCTCCATGTGATTCACGACTCGATTTCCCTGTGCTATTTCGAGGGCTGCAGGGCCGATGGGATCAGTGTTGACCAGGCGCGTTTTTGCAGATGGCGTCAGTAGATCTTGGAGCCAGCAGGGCCTACTAGGGGTACCTGGGCAAGTTTCTCGTTGGGACTGTGACGGAACATGGCTCAAGTCCCCGATATGGAATTTCTCGAGGGCGTTTATGTTGGGTATAACCAAAGATCGTGCTGCAACCTGCGGCGTACCGCATTTGAGACGACCCGAGTAGATCAGCGTATTGGAAAGTAGCATTATTTCCTCGCACATGCGGTACTGGTGCTCTAGGTTGACCACTGAATCTGGTTGTGCATCCGAGAGCAGTTTAAAGAGACTGACATCAAGTCCTCCTTCCTGCGCGGCTTTATTCTGCACAAGCGGCGGCAATTGATAGTGATCACCGACCAGGATGAAAGTCCTTGCCATACGAATGGGACCGAGGCAGACTGGGAGAGTGATCTGTGACGCCTCATCGACAATACAATAATCAAAGATGCGTTGGTTGAAGATGTTATGGTTGACTCCGAGACATGTAGTAGCAACGACCTGCGGCTTCTCGTAAGAATCCTTGAGTTCTTCAATGGTTGATTTCGGGATTGCGGCAAGATCGGCAAATTCCTGAACATCTGGATGAATTTTGGCGGTCGCACCTATACGCAGCACACGAATGTTGTCGTCTCGAATCTTCAGTAGAATATTGTCCACTGCAGTATGGGTGTAAGATGTAAGAAGAACACTCTTGCCTTGTGCAACAAGGGCCCTAATGATATGGGCAATCGTTGTGGTTTTTCCAGTCCCAGGCATTCCAAGGACAAGGGCATAGTCTTTAGCGCTCATCACTTTATCAATAGCTTGTCTTTGATCAACGTTGAGATTGCCAGGATCGGAGATCGTGTACGAAGATGATGTGGTCCTGAAGGTGGGCGTTTCCCCATCAACAATGAGCCGCCGAAGCTGCCTCGCTTGGAACAAGTCTTTATCCATCATACAGATGAGGTTATTTCGAACAATGGCCATGCCGTTGCTGAACTCATCCTTGTCGATCCGGTAAACGAGCTCTTCACCTGGGTCTTCCAGAGCAGCAGGCTCTTCTTTCCCGATCTCCATGATTCCCCTGAAAGACTGATTTGTGACTGCGTCGAAGCCAGCCGTCTTTGATCGTGCGTTGTGAAGTTTCCGGTCCACACCAACCTTGATGTGTGATGAACTAGTATGCACCACGTATCCGTTGGCGAGAGCAAAGTGGCCTTTTTCATCCGAAATGACAATCGGTTCACCGACAGATATTTGAGATTCAGCAAAGGAGAAACCAGGAGACGCTTGTCTTTTGACAAACGTATAATTGTAGCGGTTGATCTTTGCTCCAGTGTTCTCCTCATACACAGAATTTGGATCGATAACGACATCTCCGAAGCATCGGCCCAGAGCTTCTCGCTCGCTGCTCAGCAATGTCCAAAGTTCCCGCCTGAACTTCACGAGATTGCCTTCCTCTTTGGTCAGAAGTTCATCCCATTTACGAAAGAAATCCCTATCACCGTTGTTTAGATGACCGACAGCTGCATCGAAATCCTCGCCAAGTGCGCTGGTCTCGCCATCGCCATCCTCGGAGAGCTTGTGATAAATGAGACAAGGAGTCTTGGCATAGCATCGAATACACTGACGAGCTTTCTTCAACATCGGTGGAAGTTGCTGCCTTTCGCGAATATAGCCAGCAAGGTGGTTGCGCACCTGGATCATCTGGAGCAGTTCGTGTCTGATCCCACGGATACTGAGAGTTTTTGTTAACTCGAGGTAGTAGAGAAGCCCAAATGTGACATCGATATCTGCAACGATTTTTAGCAACTAGCCAACTAGCCGAAAGAGGATCGGGGATCGAGAGAGCATCTCAGCACTTACCGTAGCGATCCGACAGAAGTAGAGTGTATAGAGCTGTTTGGGCCCTATGTGACTGGTTTGTATCCCTTCGTCCAGTCTTGAGCTCCAGCGGAACAACTAGGGTCTTCTCCATTTTATCTTCGCGACAAGCGACTTGTACCGTCGCATCAATGTTGCCTTTGAGGCCATACATTGGGGACCAGATGTGCTCCTCTACCTCAAGCAGTTTGTTGATACTCAAGTTAAGCTTAGAGCTGTTGCGGTCTTCCACCACAGACTTGGCCTATCGATGTTTTTTTTTAGCAAGGATTCTTGGCCTAAAGAGGCCTCCATCGGCCGTGAGACATACCTGTGGCTTGAGATGCAGGAAAGCATCTGCCCAGTCGAGAACAGCAGGCATCCTGCTCATGAGATATTCCACAGCTTCAGGGATACTCATTTGAATCGAGTACAGTTCTTCAATGTGTCTGCCCATGACGGTTTCGACCAATGTCCTCAACGACTCCATATCCCATTGATTTGCTTTGAGGGCTTCTTGGAAAACTTCGTGGAAAAAGACCCCGAAGGCTTGCGGTCGCTCGAGTGCGCCAATGACTTTGACTCGATCTTGAAGGACAGCTCGTCGCTGGCAGTCTATCGAGTCTGCTACGACCGTAGCAGAAATGAGGTGGTCGGGGTGAACAATGATCATGTGGTTCAAATTATCCACAACGCATTGGCCCGCTGCATTGAAGTCCCCGACCAGGTGGATATACGAGTCCTTGCTGCAGGGAGTGTCAAACCATGACTCTCGCAATATAATAACCTTGCGGTCTCGGGTTTTTTCGTCTTCAACTAGCAAACCCTGTACTTAAAGTCAGCGGACAGGGCTATATCCGGGGCAAGGGCAAGGCATCTGACCTGCTCTGGCTGAGTACGTCCTTTCGAAGTAACATATGTGCTTTTCGTGATGTCAACGATTTGGTAACGTTTGATAGCTTGTCGACCTTTTAGGTTCCTCTTTGTTTTGACTGTCTTAGCATGTATTTAAAGATTAATCCACTAAGAGTGACTAACATAGGCCGGTCCTCCTTCACCTGCTTGCTTCATAGTTTGCTCAATGGCCTCCAGGTCAAAATCATCATCAAACTCATCATCCGATGACGCCACCTCAGCTTTGACAGGTGCGTCGGTTGGGGGTTTGCTATGCATACTGTCATTTACTGGGACATTCATTGCACCTAACCTCTGCAAATATGGTCCAGTGGTAGTTGGCTTTAATGGATTGACCGGGACGGGCTTTGCGTCGCATTTTGCAAGTATTTCCTGCAAGTTGTCGGTAATATCGTCATATTCATCTTCAAATTCATCGAATTCATCGCCTTCTGGTTCGTTAATCGTAGTGTTATGGGGTATGGGAGGTTTGCTGTTGAGTGTTGAATTCTCTTTGGGTTGCCATGAACGAGACTTTTCTGCGGCAAGGTCTGCCCAGCTAGAGGATCCCAGAGAAGCAAACTCATTAGATGCATGTGCCGGCTCAATGAAAGGATCCTCTGAGGCATCGGCCAGGTCCATCAGATCTTGATCAAGATCATCGTCTCCGAACTCGGAGGACGACTCTTGCAGAACAGGCAGTTCCCCAGGTCTTACTTTCTCAAGCGATGCAGATGGGGACTCAGCGGTTTCTTCGTCAGCTTCGTAAAGCCTATGCTCCTTGGTAGGTGAAGACGATCGACAACGTCGCGCATCCATATGTTGGCGTAGAGGCGACGATCCAGGTGGACCCGCATCGGCAGGGGCCATGTGTATACTCTTCTCAATCTTCTCCATAAGATAGTTGATCCTTGATGACTTAGATTTTCCAGATTCCACATTGCTGT